AGAAACACTGTCTTGAGAAAACAACAAAAAAAAGAGCTCTTACACAAAGAAACCCTGACTGGGAAAAAAAAAGGAAGAAAGAAGAGGAGGAGGAAAGAAAAGTGAAGGAAGGCGAGAGAGAAGAAAGTGGGTAAGAAAGAAAAAGAGACAAAGAAATAATATGTCTGTAAATGATACAATTAGGCTAGAGGTATAACTAAGTGGAATAGTGTTTGTCTAGCATGCATGGTTTAATCACCATATACACACACAAACAAAAACACTTAAATGTTTCATGAGCAGGAAAGATGACTCAAAGGTTTTTACATGAGACCATGAAAGCAGGAATTTATCCCCAGGACCCACATGGTAGAAGAACTACCACTATAGTAGGCATTTGACCTAAACATACACAGATAGATAGATAGATAGATAGATAGATAGATAGATAGATAGATAGATAGATAGATAGATAGATAGATAAAATGAATAAATCTAACTGTTCTAGTTTCCTTTCTGTGGCTGATAAAATGCTCTAAACAAAAGCAAATGAAGACAGGAACTGCTTTATTTGGTTTATACTAAACATGTCACAACCCAACACTGAAGGAAGTCAGGGTAGGAACTCAAACAAGGCAGAAACTGTGAAGGAACACTGCTTATTGGCTTGTTCTCAGGCTCATCCTTAGCAGCTTATATAGCCCATAATCACCTCCCAAAAGACTACACCCCCAACAGTGGGTGGGGCTCTAATCAATTAGCAATTAATCCTACACAGACATGTGCACAAGGCCAATCTGACCTAGACATCCTTCAAATGAGACTTTCTTCAAGCCAAAAAAAAAAAAAAAAAAAGATTTAGGCAAAGAAAATAGCTCGGTGGAGTTTGAAATATGTGATGGACTAGAGTTTATTCCCAGCATCACTAATAGTAATAATTATAATAAATGAGTCATTTGTCTCAAAAGTAATTCTTATGACTTAGTAACAAATCCAGCAAAGCACAATTTGAGGCAGCAATTAGAATTAGCAGAGTTCTCTATCAGGTATTTATAAATTATCTTTTAAAACCAAAAAATCAACTGCTATATAGAATTGAATATATTTTCCTAGTTTTATAAAAATATTTAAATCAACTAAGTATCTCACACATCTTAATTTTCTCTCTGCTTTTTACTAAAAACAAAAAAATAGAAAGGAAACAATGTAAAAGAGCTCAACATTGTTATAAAATCTTCTACTTTAGAATTTAAAAAAATCCAAAAGATTTCTAAAAAAAAAAGAAAATAAAGAGGATAAGAGCAAAGCTGGCAGCACAGCTCAGAGGCAGAGCTCTTGCCGAGCAGATGAGGAGGCCACACCAGAAATTAACTGCAGTGTTACACATGAGTTCAACCCTCAGTTCTCATACATGAAACAAAAAGGTGTTCACTCTGCACATGCAAAGTTGGCTATTTTATGAGTTTAGAAATTCAAATTTAGAAAGATGGCCTGCACTAAAGACTAAACCAAAACTTTAAATATCATTCTTGAAAACTTCTTTTTCTGTATCCCATTTCTTTCTATTATATTCTATCAGTTTTAACTTCCAAAACACATCTAACTTATCTTACTTCTGGTGTTATTTGACAGACCAATTCACCTTTATCTTTAGATTAAATCTATTAGGCCAAGCATGGTGGTGCAAGTCTTTAATCCCAGCACTCAGGAGGCAGAAACAAGCAGATCTCAGAGGGTTTGAGGCCAGCCTAGTGTACACAGTGAGTTCCAGGCCAGCCACTGCCACACAGTGAGACTCAGGCTAAAACTAAAACAAAAGAACTTATATAGCAGCTTCTTAGGCATTTTACTTTTGTCCTCTCCTCCTACCCAATCTCCATATGTCAGCATATATGTGACCCTCCTAATATAATTTCTATTTTTCACTATAGAAGCTTCTTCCATGATCTGGATCTCGCCTGATTCTCCAAGCTCACTTGACAGTATTTTTTTTTTTTTCACTCCATCACACATCCCAAATATGCCTGTCATCTCTGCCCCTCACAGTTCTCAGTCTACACATTTTCTGTTTTCTAGTTTTGGAAACATTGTCCCTCAACTCCTAGACCTGTTTTTTATAAGGTAAAGTATACACTGTTGTAAAAAACAAAAAACAAAAAAAAAAAAAAAAAAAAAACCCACATACAGAATAAAAGAACTACCTAAAATTCTACCATTAGAAAGGGCTACCACTAATATCTTAGAAATAATCCTTTATATATAACTTTGTAGGTGTATATGCCATTATATGCTGCATAGAGCCTTCATAAATTTCAAATTTTTCCATACTTGTTCTTTATGCTTAATGCTCAATTCAAATACCACTTCCTAAGAAGAGGCCTCCTACAACCTTTGTAAAGAAATATATTTTTTGAGTTCCCTAGTAGGGAGCACAGGGACTGTCTCTGACATGATCTCAGTGGCTGGCTCTTTAATCACCTCCCCCTGGGGGGGGGGTGTAGCCTTGCCAGACCACAGAGGAAGATGATGAAGCCAGCCTTGATGAGACCTGATAAGCTTGGGTCAGATAGAAGGGAGGAGTACCTCCCTTATCAGTGGCCTAGGGTAGGGGCATAGGGGGAGAAGCAGAAGGGTGGGTAGGACTGGGAGGAGATGAAGGAGGGAGCTGCAGTGAGGATACAAAGTGAATAAATGGTAATAAATAAATAAAATTAAATTTAAAAAAAGAAAACTACTTTTAATCACATTACTTGACTTCCTTCATTGCACATATTTCTTTCCAAATTAACTATCTGTCTTTGTTAACTTATCTCTATTTTTTATCTGCCCAGTAACTGAAGAAGTCAAATTATGTGAGAGCAGACTCTTACCACTATTTTTCCCACTACTATATTACTGACTACTACCTAACACTGCAGATGTCTAATACTTAATAAAGACATGGTGGTTTCGGTTAGTGTGTGTGTGTGTGTGTGTGTATGTGTGTTACTAGGAACTGAACCCAGAGCCTCACATAAGGTAGCAAATGTCCCACCAATAAGCTATAGACCCAACACCTTATGCACTTTTTATTTTTGAGACAGGATCTCAGTAGGTTGCACAGCCTGGGTAAACTCCCCCTAGAATCCAGCCAGACCTTGAACTTGTGACCCCGCTGCCTCAGTTTCCCAAGTAGCTGGGATTACAGACCTGACTTAAGTAACATTTATAAGTTATAAAATCCATATTTTTAATCTTCTATTGAATTTTTTCTAAACTTCATACTCATACTTAATCATCCATCTGACAGCTCCAATTGGCAAAAACAGTGGTTCACCAAACCTGCTCCTACTCAGGTTGTTCACTGTTTTGATAAATAACAATGCCCTCAACCAAATATCCCAAACTATAAACCTGAATTTTACCCTTGAATCGATTCTTCCTCTTCAACCTATATTCAACCAATCACCAAAAGTCTCTCAATTCTACCTCCTAAATCTCCAATCCATCAATTTCATTCAATCCATCTGCTCTTCTCCCACCACCAAGTACAAATCATTCATCATTTCTCTTTATCAACTGTAACATCCTTCTAGCTTCCTACTCCAGATTCACTCTTACTTCCTTCTAATTTATTAGAAGCTATACTCCCAGTGACTATAAAGATATAACATCAATTTGGCTAGATGCAGAATCACTTAGGAGACAGACATCCGGACATGCCTGAGAGGCTTAACTCAAATGGGAAAAGCCACACTTAATGGTGGACAGACCCAAGCTCTGGGCTGGGTCCAGACTTAACAAGGTAACCACAAGTGTAGCAATAGCATTCACCTGACTCTGATCTAACTGCAAACAATGTGACCATCCTACAGCCACAGCTGCCGCTGCTCTTGCTGCCATGTCAGGCACTGTACACGTAATCCATTCTGCAAGTCTCAAATTCTGACACCGATTCTTCACAAGTCTGTAGTAAACAATTCACAGATATCCTTCCTCCCAATGCATGCTTTGCCTACACAATCAACCACACAATAATCTAGATAATTGCTGTAAAGGGACATCTGATATAATCAAAATTACTGATTTTAGGTGGAAGATTGTCATGGATAACAGGTAAATCAGAGATTTGAAAAGTTGACCGACAGCATGAGCCTGCAGTTTCTCCCACCAGAGACTCCAAATAGACTGCTGTCTGATCCCTGGAAACCCAGGCCTATGAGATTCTAAGCAAAGACTCACTTAATCTGCCTGAGTTTCTCAACTTCAGAGCTTTTATACATTGCATAAGTATTATTTTATTTTGAGAAAATGAATAAGCACTGTTTTAAGCTGCCTAACTTGAGAACAACAGAAAACTTCTAATCAAGGCTCTTTCTAGACCCCTGTTCCCCAAGATCCCTGTTCCCCACTCTAAGCCTGAATTAGGGCCCCTGTTCCCAAATCATTTCGTATTTCTCTGTCATAACATTAATCATATTTATTACTTTACATAGCCTAAGATCTATAGCTAGTAACTTTTCAATTTTGTTCACCATACATGATTATAACCCAATGTCTACACAACTGTTATCTATAAACGTTTGCTAGTTAAATGAAAAACATGTTTCCCAAAATTCTCAGTTGAGATAAACCTCCTATAGAGTGCCACATCATGAAATGCTTAAGGAAAAAATTTCTGGCTTATAGCAATAATTAAGAAAGAAAGAGTTAGGATGAAAGATACATACTTAGAATTATTATTATTATTATTTCAGTTTTACAAACCCTCCCCACTTGACATCTCTCATCCACGCCCAGTGCCTCCAGGAATCCTGGCCAACTCTCAGAACTATACAACATTACTAGTAACAGTAGCGATATCCTTTAGGTATACCTTTGGATTATAGAGTAGAAATTAGTTTACAATTTTAAAAGACAGTTATCAAACTACAATAATGATACAAATTTATTCAACTGAGACATTAATATGTTATAAAAAATGAATATATTACAATTATCTGGTCAGAAAAGAAAAAGACTAACAAAAATACTTTACTTACATCAAAGGAAAAGCAAAAAATGGGAGTGTCATGGCAAGTCTCGCTGTAAATTCATCCGGAAGATACCACAAGTACACAATTAAGCATGTAAACAGATAAAGAACTGAAGAATAGATAATTAATCTTCCAACCCATAATTTTTGCAATCTCTGATTTTTTTCTCTAAACTCTTCCAATGCTTGAATTTCCTGTTAAAAGAAAAGTATTCCATATTATTAAATCTCATAAATCATTTAAAAATTAAAATTGAAAGAACATGACAGAAAAATTCTATTCAATTGCTAAAATTCAATGAAATACAATGCCCTAAAATTTTAAAGCAAACATATGAAAGAAAAACTAAAACTGAAGTTAAGTAATTAAATAAAGCCTTTCCCAACAAATTACTTTTCAAACTAAAATATTAAATACTATTTTTAATCTATCAAATTGGTAAAGACTAGAAAAATGAAATTGACATCAGCAAATACATAGTCAAGAAAATAATTCTTAATATATGGCCTTTAAAATCTGGCAAGAAAAAAATTGTAGAGCCATGATTGGTGGTGCTGTAACACATTGAATCATGGCACACAGGAGGCAGATGGAAGTTTGAGGAGAGCGTGCTCTAAATAGACAGTGTAGGCCAGGCAGAATAATATAGTAAGACTGTCTCAAAAAAAAAAGAAAAAAGAAAAAAAAAAAGAAAAGAAAAGAAAAAAAAAAAAAAAAAACAATGACTGAAACTACATTTCAGTCTATTTGCTAGTCCCAATATTCCTAGGAAATATAAGAGAAAAACTTAAAGCTATAGAATTGCTGCAGACTGATAAAAGTTGCACAGTAGCCTACAATCTTTATCATGCTATGTTATATTGATTTACACCATGCTAGCTCTAATTGCATTCTAACAGGTTCTATCTATTACTTGATACGGGCTTCTCAAATCACTGAGAGACTTCAGATTTTTCTGGGGTTTGTTTGTTTTGTTTTTCTTTTTTGAGATTACATAACACTAAAGTTCTCAGCAGTCCAATATATCAGTGGTTCTCAATCTGTAGGTGACAACCCAAAATTACCCTGTATACCACATATTTAGATTACAATTCATAACAGTAGCAAAATTAGCTATGAAGTAGCAATGAAAATAATTTTATTTGGGGGTCACCACAACATGAGGAACTGTATTAAAAGGATGCAGTATTAGGAAGGTTGTGAACCACTAAGCTCCCGTGTCTCTTCTCCAACATAAAATTACCAAAATACTTAATTAACATCTAAAATAAATACTCTAGAGCCAAGGAACATACCTTATCTATATTTTCTAGAACTTCTACTGTTGAAGGTTTTGCCTGTTTTAGACACAGAAATAAGACATGGCATTAAAGCTTGCTTCTGCAAATTTAGAAACACTTGAGTTTATATAGTCATTAAAGAACACTTTAATTCACAACTAGGTTTCTCAATGTTACCAAGCTATATGTCTACCTATTTATAACTATAATTGAAAAATAACTATCAAACTATGTAAGAGTCTTAAAATAAAACTTTTTCTAAAACTTTCAACTGTGATAGCTCTTTTTCCATTCTTAACCTCAACAGAACAGATTTTTATATAGAGAAAAATATTTTCATCCAAAGGGATTCCTAGAGCAAAATATTCACAAGATGGCCTGTGTAAGCACCACACTGACTGACTTCAGGACTGAAGCTCCCGGGGGCTCTGCAGGTTAAAATCAATAGGCCACATTCACTGTGATTCCTAAAGTCACAGCTTTAGAAAGGTTCTTTTGTTTGCATGTTTCAAATGAGTGCAGACGTGCCGGCATTTGTGCCTGTAGAAAGCACCCTGGTGCCATCGAGGCCAGGAGAAGGCACTGGATCCCCTGGAAATGGGGTTATGAGCAGCTGTGGGCCACCAAGTGGGCTGGAAACTGAGCCACAGTACTCTGGAAGAGCAACCAGGGCTCTGAACCTCTAAGCCATCTTTTGAGCCCCAAGTACACACTTTTGAAAGATGAGATTTTTATAGAGTATATATAAGAATATTTTATAACAGCAGTGATTATTTGCCAAAGTTATTTCTATATGAGCCAGAATGGTTCAAACGACAATTAAGAAAATATTTATCAAGACAGTAACAAATATCAATACTATAGTCTTTAAAAAGTTAACCCTAAATAAAAAAAAAAAAAAAATGTAAAGTTGTTAACCTAAGTTTGAACCATGTAAAACTGCCATTTTTATATGACAAAGCAGACTATCAGCAACTTGATATGATTCAACCAAATAAGAAAAACAAAAGAATAATACATTTATTTGATTCTCAGGCTGTCAAATTTTTGTCTGTTTTTCGAGACAAGGTTTCTCTTGTAGCGTTGGCTGTCCTGGACTCACTTTGTAGACCAAGATGGTCTTGAACTCACAGATTTGCCTGCCTCTGCCTCAATGGTGCTGGGACTAAAGGCATGCCACCCTGCCTGGCTCTGTAGATTTTTAAAAAGGAATCAAGAAGAAAATAAAAAGTTAATAGTCTAGGAAATTGGAGGTAGAAAGTTGAAGGGTTAAAAGATTAGGGGACAAAAGATACAAAATCACAGAGTCAGTTCTAGAGACCATTACAGAGTGGTGACTACAGCTTACAATGCTTTACTATATTTTTCGTGAGCTTTAAAAAAAAAAGTTTATTATATTTTTAAACATGTATATACATGGATGCCTGTGCATAGGTACATGAATGCAGGTGTAGTTGGCAGCCAGAGGTGCTAGATCCATAAAACAGGAGTCCAAGCAATTGTGAATAGCCGGATATGGGCACTGGGAACTGAACATCCGTCCTTTGCAACAGCAACAAGTGCCCTTACACTTAAATGTCTCTGATATACTATATTCTTGAAAACTGCTAACAGAGAAAATGTGTTCTCACCACAAAAAGTATAATTGTATGAGTTAAAACATGTTAATTACGAGATCTAAACAATGTAATATATACACTTTAAAATATCATGCTGCATACAATAAATATGCTATTTTTCCTGGGGATTTTTTTAAAAAGAAAAACAAAGTCAATATAACACAAATCTAAAACATGGATTTCTCTAACAAGTCAAAAGCTAAATTATACACCCAACATTATTATTATTATAATAAGGAATAGGAAATTATTTTCCTAGACTACATTATTTCTTATTACTTACTTATCAATAAAATTTATATTTTATCTCTAAATTTGAGATACGTTAAAGACTTATCTAGTAAAATCTGCATTTTTAATTTTGTTCAACCTATATTTTTTTTTATAATTCTTAAAAGTATGTTTATGTGACATACTAAAAAAAAAAAAAAAAAAAGCAATTCCTTTAATCCCAGCTATATGGAAGCAGAGGCAGGACAGATTTCTGCAAGTTTAAGGCTGCACAGCAAAGCCCCTGTCTCCAAAGTAGGTAAGAGAGGGAGACAGACAGACAGACAGACAGATAGATGATATAGTCCATAAAACTCCTAACTATGGTATAAGAGTTAATTTCAACTACTTTCAAAATAAACTTGGAACTTGGGCAATATGAGCAAAAAACTACCTCTATATAATACAAAAATAAAAATGAATTACTAGAGATATTAAGTAGCCATAAAAAAAAAAAAAAAACTACCAAAATAATGCCCAAAAAGGCAATTCTAACTGGAGTTAAATGAAATTAAATATATAATATGAAACTCACTGAAATGTGTACCTCAAAGAAGACCTCAACAAATGCTTTATGTAACCCTCCCATGTTATATTTTTTTTAAATTAGCAATATACAAAATATTTTTTCTTACCCTCCATCGAGAAAATAATCCACCCATCTTTTATTTGTAGAATCTTGGTACAATAATAAATATCATGAGTTGTCCAAAAGAAGTCACAGCTAGAAACAAAGCAAATATTTTAAATTTTTAAGGTAAATGCACAGCACATTCTCTCTACAATTTTTATGTTGCAATACTACATTTAAAAACCATAAATTATTTATTGGCCTCCACTTACATGAAACTTGAATCCAGATAGCCACAGGTACATTCAAAGTGAGGACATATTTAAAGGTAAAAATGGAGTTGGAAATATGTTTTAATGACAAATCACCTACAAATTTCCTATTTTTTTAAAGTAGTTACCCTATGTTGTTCTCGTTATAAAAATAAAATAAATTCTTGAGGCGCATGCCTGTAATCCCAGGGAGGCAGAAGGAGGTGAATCTCTGTGAGTTCAGAGACTAGCCTGGTCTACAGGGAGAGTCCAGGTCAGGCAAGGCTACACAGAGAAACGTTGTTTTGAAAAACATAAAAAGAATAAATTCTTTAATAATTTGAGCCTTCACTCCTTTGTAAAGAATAATGTCAGTAGTTTGTCACAGGACAGCCTTTAGTATAAACACCTTGAGATAAGAAAATAGCAAATAAAAAACATGCCCTAAAACTCCTGTATCTTCAGACTTCTGGTTCCTATGTATAAACACTGCTGGTCAACACCCAATTAAGCATTGTAAGACCCTCGACCTAGATGACCTTCACTTCAGCCAGCTGTGTATATCTGTTTGTTTATCCATTATCTTCAAATGTTTTATGAAAACTGAGAAATGGTAATATCATAAATCAATTTAACAGCTAAAATAATGATTAAATTGACATGGTAAACTTATACCCTCAAACTGACATCTTTTTATCAGGTTACAAGTATCTGCTTATCAGGGTGTGAAACTACTTCATCTATACACACGTGCATACACACTTATTTTTACAGGTATATCTCCCCTATCTTAACCATAAATATAATCACAAAATAATTATCAGCACTCAGGGAGAAATGCGATACTATTTATATATCAGCATTATCTCAAGGCATACCTATTTTAAGAGTTTCTTTTTTTAGAAAAGTAATGAATGCCTAATTATAAAGTACTTTCATTTACAAAGTGATTCGTACAGCCAGAAATATTATCTGTTCTAAGACACTCTGAAGCATACAAAACAAGTTCATAAGCTACAATTAAGTTGCAAGCTAAATATTAATTCTGTAATAATAGCTCAGCATTCAAAATTCTAAAATGTGATTATGAGGTATTCTGGAACGCTAATGAACAAAAGTATAAATTTTGAGTTAAGATTAAACAAATCTTAAAACAGTCTTAATATTCTAAAAGCAATCACCAAGAAAAGTAGAAGGAAAAAGACTCAGATGACCACATAATTTTGCATTTCTCTGTCATCACTCCACTAGTTTGAAATTGGCTTGTGATAGTTTGAAACTAGCTTGTTATATTTGACAGTGTTTCGTGCACAACTCGACTACATATTTCTATTCTCCCCTCCTCTTCCCCAGACAGTGTTTCTCTTTGTAACAGCCTGGCTGTCCTAGAACTCAGCAGACCAGGCTGACCTTGAACTCACAGAGATATAGCTGCCTCTGCCTCCCAAGTGGTGGGATTAAAGGCATGCACCACCACTACTCTGCATATTTCCATTTCTAAAAGAACTATAACAAGTTTGAAGCCATCACACCTTAAGATCAAATTTTCTGTTTTGGTTGGATTTTCTGTGACAGGATCTCCTGACACTCAGCTGCCACCTTCCTGCCTCAGCCTCCTGAATACTGACTGGCATTACAAACTTGCACCATCATGCCCTACCTGGCTTAGCTGACTTTTTACTATTTGAAATTAATAACACTGAACACTAAAACAAATGATTTGCAAGGATTTTATTATTTAGATACTGTCCCTCCATTTCACAAATTAAGACCCTGAAGTTAGAGAATATGCTAAACCCCAAGAATATTAAGTAGCAAAGCCAACTACAGCATCTTAGTTTTGATTTTCTTAATGCAACCAGTTATTCCCAACAGCAAATGGAGGACAACTATATAGCATAGGCTGAAAATATCTGTGTAGAGTAGCACATATATCAGTTATAACTAGCTGGAGATATAGGTTAGAAGTTGAGCACTTGTGGAGTACATGGCCCTGGGCTCAATCCTCAGCACCATAAAACATAAAAATAAAAACAAAGTGAAATAAAACATATGAAAGCACCTTAGACCTTCTTAAATAGTTGATAAACAGAGCTGCTAAAACGGAAAGTGAGTTATACACACAAGAGACAGTGTTTATAGCAATGTATCAGGTAGCCGAATCCCTTTATCTGATGAAGTCTGAATGCTTAAATCTACATTAGAGAGATGCTAAATGGCTTACTAAATTCCTAGGAGTCCAGTTAGAACTTTTAGAGCAACTAGTCTACAACAGTCTTTACTGAACATTGCCTTTTAAAGGAGCACATGAGATATATCCGTAATTCATAATAAATACTTATTTTATATTAATTATTTGTTTGAAGGATGTTTTGCTGTTAAAGAAACAACAACTATAGTTTTGTCTTCAGGCTTTCTAATGCAAGAAGTTGTGCTTTAAATTTACCCTCTGAAGCTGGGTGTGGTGGTGCACACCTTTTATCCCAGCGCTTGAGGCAGAGGCTGGTGGGTCTCTTTGAGGTCAGCCTGGTCTACAAAGTGAGTTCCAGGACAGCCAAGACTACACACAGAGAAAAGAAACCCTGTCTGGAAAACAACAACTACAACAACAACAAAAAACAAAAACAAAAAAAAAACCCTCTGAAATATTAGTAATAGTCATTAAATCCATGGTTTCATAAGCAAAATAACAATCAATTATTGGATTCAGAAATTTTCAATAGTATTTTTAACTATGTGAAACACAAAAGGAGTAAATATTTTCTACAATGTTAAGTTCATTTTCTATCTCACCCAGGGCTTCTGTCCTTTCCATGTAGACATTGTAAATCCAATTCTGAATGCCCATCACTTACTGTGAAACAATGAGCATAAATAAATAAATAAATAAATAAATAAATAAATAAATAAATAAATAAATGAATGAATGAATGAATGAATGAATAAATAAATAAATGAATAAATGGGCATCTCTATTTCTCTATTTCCTCATCTGCAAAGAGGGATAGTTAGAATCTCCTTAGATGCTGAAATGCTTAAATAATGTCCTAAACTATTTACCCTAGAATAAATTGTTTCTCTTGCTGTAGTCACTGTCATTTTCTAATCCACCTCTACTCTCTTGCCCAGTACCTCTAGTATTTCTTTCTGAAGCATACATCATCGCTTGCCTTTAATTGGACTCAAGCAGTATAGCCAAGCTGTTCAGTCTCTTTCCAATCCTGCCTCCACAGTGGGACAGAGCATGTACAACCTTAAAGACTAAATGCACCTAAATGTGTGTGTGTTTTAAGATTTTTTTTTTTTTAGTACAAGTGTTTTGCTTGCAAGTATTTGTGCACGATGTGTGTACCTTGTACACTGGGAAGTCAGAAGTGGACGTTAGATAGCTTAGAACTAAAGTTTCAGATAGCTGTGAACCGCCATGTGCACAGGGAAGTCAGAAGTGGACATTATAGCCTAAAATGAGAATTACAGATGGCAGTGAACTACCACGTGGTCCTGAGTGCTCCCAACCTCTAAGTCATATCTCTCCAGCACCCTAAGTGTGGTTTTCAATGACCAATAATGCCAAACATACTGTATGACATTTTCTATAGTATTCACAGTCAGGTTTAAGTGAGAGAACCAAAAATCTTAAATGTCTTTCTTAAATTTTCAACTCATTTCAAATCACATAAAAACAATAGAATATTCGAACTATGGCCCAACCATATACTAGCCATATGAACTGGGTAAATTACTTACCAAGTGTGGTTTTACAAAGTGGTGAAAATATTTACATTCCATGGAATTATATAAATTAAGTGAAATTATTTATCACTTGGCACTGTGTTCAGCACATAGTGTTTAGTTAGTTGTAGCCATTACTACTGCAATTACCAAAAAAAAAAAAACCACATGTAATATTCAAATGAAGCACATGCCTAACTTTTATAAAAATGAGCACTTATCTCATAATTGAAATTTTTTAAAAATAAGTTTGTATTTTTACTGAAAATATTTTTTTTTCCTTTTCCCTAGCATGGAAATAAAGCAGAAGATTCTTCAGGCACTTTACATTATAATAAACTTGTAGGCCTTCACAGAAAACAGCAAAAGAAGTTGAGTTTTGAGTTTTAAGTTCCAAACTTAAATATAAACTAAAATCTTCAACAGCAACTTTAGGATTAAATTTAGGATTAAATGTGATTTGTTCAAGATGGCTTTCAAACGTCCAAACAAAAAATTCTGAAATATCTTACACCAGCTTTCTTGCCTAAAAATGATGAAAAGAAGCACACCTCTAAAAGCACTTTTAGTGCGAGATGACTACCACAAAAAAAAAGGTGCAGAGATTTCTACATGAAGTCGTACCTTTGTAACAGTCACCTGTCCTTGCATTCTTTCAACATATAAACACTATTCACAGCACTACTGTGCAGACCCCAATAGGTGTCCAGAACTTTTAAGACCTCTACGTTTAAAAGAGCCATTCTTGTTTAAAAAATGCATTCAAAGTCAACTCTGTTCCCCTAAGAAGGGACTGTGGAGAAGACCTTTAGGGACTAGGTCCTGCCTGCTAGCTTGAATGAGCCATCACACCTCTAGACAATTTTGTCAAAGCTGAGACAGCGAACACAGGGACAGAAAACAACAGACTCTAGGGACCACAACCCAGAAGCCAAAAGAGCCGAGCAGAACACGGAAAACTCTGAGTCACAGGTGTTGCTTATAACTGCTCTCAAGAATAAATTCTCCAATCCGAACTCTCCGTCCGCCAACACATCATCAAAGAATGAAACATGGATGGCCCTTGGAGTTACTCTTCCCGGGTGGCTCCTGACACCTCGCACCTTCGTGCCGCCGCTCCAGCCCTCAGGCCTGCCGCTGTCCCTCCAACATTTAAGAACAATGGTTGTGCAGTCCCTTACGATCCACGCCCACGTGAGCAGCATGACACTGACAGTTTTCAGACCTTCCCGTCCTGCCAGCTCCGCTGGACGCGGAGGTGACAAGAGCACTCAGGGTGGCTATCTCAGCCAGGGACGTGCTTCCTGGGACCTTTGGGCACTCCTCAACGCAGGTGGGGCCAAGGGCTCGGGCTCCAAACCACCCCGAGACCACAGCGGGGGCGCACACCGGTCCTGGGGAGACAGGGCCGGGTGTCGCCCACTCCGGAGCCGCTCGGGCCGCTGTGCTGGGCAACCCACGAGAGAAGGCGGCAACTGTACCCGGCGGGCGCAGCCCCGCGCGGCGCGTCCCCAGCCGCCGCCGGGCTCTAGGCCACCTAGCCGGGGCGGAGGAGACCGCCGGGCCGGCGCGCGGAGGAGCCCGGGGACCGGCTCCCGCGGCCCAGAGAGCCTCGGGCTACGCGGCCCTCCCCTTCGCCGTCCTACCTGAGCAAAGCAGGCGCCGCCCGGCCCCGCCGTCCGCTCGGGTGAGCCTCGGTCGCCACCGCGTAGCCCGCCTCTGGGGCAGGCGGCAGCAGCTACTGACAGAGATCTGGGCCCAGCCAATGCCTTCCCATCAAACCCCGCGCTCCCGCCGCCAGCCAATGGGCGCCGCTTCCCCGCCACCCCCGGTCACGTGACCCGGCCGGCCCAGCCGTTGGGGCCCGGGAGCGGCGCGTCTGGCCTGAGGGTCCAGGCTGCGTGTTCTCCGCGGCCGGGGGTCGGCACAGCGGCGTGCGGCCGTTCCGACTGCGGTGTACTAGCAGTTGATTCTTGTTCTCCCTCTGCCTCCTTTGCTCTTGAGTACTCTCACCCCCACCCCGACCCCCAGACTCGCCGAGGAAAGAAACTGATCCTGATTGTCCTAGACCATCTGAGTGAGAGGAGAGTGGGGAGGACAAAAGGGAGCGCCCTTGAAGGTCGGGACAAAAGCGAGTACCTGATGTTCCAGATCAGCTGTCATCCACCAGGCAGCAACAAAGGTTTACACTGCATAGCTCAGAAGAGGCCAGTCTCAGCTAAGCCGGGGGAGACATATATTCATCACCTGGCTAGACCTCGTGAGCGCTTGAGGCGTCTGTTGGACGTCAAAAAGGGTCCTTTGATGATGACTGGGCGCTGACCTCACCAGCCTGAGATGAACATCAAACGCAAAGGATGGCGTTTTCAAACTTTGGGTAGCAACAAAGACTGACAGCTTTCCCCATCTTTACACTCTTAACCTCAAGAGCACTCTCCAAAAGCTCTAAATAACCGGGCCTGCGTAAAACCGGCACGCTATCTTTCCTGAGATTTGAAAACGGCCTAAAGAATGTTGTTTCCTAGTCAACTGCAAGTATCAGTAACAAATGACACCTGAAGAGGAGGAGAAAAACGAGAGATGCGTAGGCATAACAAGGGAAACTTCAACAAAGGTTTTTATGTTCTGTGTGCAATCATTTTTATGGGGTTTTCTACTTCAGTTACTAAAAATGTTTCTGATTTTCAAAGCACAATAGAAATAATATACTCTGTTTACACTGACGACACTGGCAAAGAAGGAAGAGAAGACTACATAGGATGTAATTTGTAATATGATTCTCTAAATGCTAAATTCTTCAGTTACAGCTTTGTAAACTTAAAAGACCGGAGGAGAGAGCTAAACTTGAATACAGTGTGAGTCACCTCATCAATGTGGGAAAAAAATGAACACAGGCATTTCACATCCAAACAGCCAGTTCTGTTTTGGAAAATTAGCCATTTTATTTCCCAGCCTTTGCAGCCTAAGAATTTAAATCTTGTGCTGCTGTTCAGCAGCATCTTGTCTCTGGTTGTTTCTAAAGAGAACAAGAAAGAACATTTTTGGCTCTTGTCAATGTTTTGTCCTCTGATTTCTCATTGAGAAAAGGAATTTATAAATAAAACAGGATGGAATGGGGAGGTGGAGAGATGCCTCAGTAGTTAAGAGCACTCAGTGGTCAAGAGGACCAGGGTTCAATTCTAGCACCCACAAGGCAGCTCACAACTGTAACTCCAAAATCTGACACCCTGACCCAAACATATACACAGGCATAACACCAATGCACATAAAAAAAAATAAAAAGAGAGTATTTAAAAAATAAAGCAGGACAGCAAGACAGAGAAGAGCTGTCTCAATGTAAGATTCTAAAAATCTAATCCAGAGAGAAAATTTCCTAGAACTAAATTAGAAAAAGGTTTAATCTAGCCAGGTTTAAAAGGGAAACACAAACTCTAAATTATTCCCCAAATCTTTCAAGATACCATTTTTCAAATGAGAAAACATAAAAGTGGAAAGATACGTACACTGTTAAAGATAGCACTGTGCCATTTCGTCTTATGAGAGGTGAGATCTGCGCTGAGGATATAGCTCAGCGATAGTACATTTATCTAGTGTGCACAAGGCCCAGGGCTCAGTCCTCACTACCATGAAAAAAATGAAGAAGGGAGTGAAGAGAGTGTCAAGGGACAATGCAAGAAAGACTATGAGAATGAAATGTGGGGCATATTCCTAAACTAGACTACAGAGTGACTTGGAGCATTTGTGGCCCTTTGTTAAGTACTAAGGAAACGTACAATAGCTATACTAAAGCATCCAACAGGAGTGAGAGAAACTACAAGTGTTGTATAAATCTATGTTCAAGGTGTCAGAAAACATCACAGCTGTCCAGGATGATGTGGAAAAGCAGGTGAGGCAGCTGCTTTACAGCTGCTTCGGCGAGTCCAGATCTCAAGAATGGCTCCCTACTAAGCCAAAACTGTAACATGACTGCAGCTAAGGAAGTAAAATCCAGAGAATAAGAGAGGAGGCCAAGTGGTGGCACATGTCTTTAATCCTGGCACTCAGGAGACAGAGGCAGGAGGATCTCTGAGTTCAAGGCCATCCTGGTCTACAAAGAGAGTTCCAGGACAGCCAGGGCTGTTATATAGCCCTATCTTGAAAAACCAAAGGGGGGGAAAAAAAGGAAACAAAATATTCAAGCTGGTAGAATTTTCAGTGGTCTAATTATGAAAATATTTTTTTCTTAGGTACTATGAAAACATAGAGGAGGGGAATTCATCAATCTAGCAAGAAGCATTAGAGAAAGCTTTCTTAAGGAAGTCACACTCAAAATAGATCCAAAAGATAAGAAACATAACTGTGGAAAAACACAAGGAATGTCATATATAAAGGCCTTTTGTTAGATGCAGGCTTTGCAAGCCTGAGTCTAAAAGGAGGCCATTGTGACTGGATCATAGACTACAGGGAGACAGTGATACAGTGTGAAACTGGGCACCACACTAAAAGATCTTTTTTGGCCTTGTTTTTTAAAAAAACTTAATCCTTTTCTTGAGAAAAACAACAGTTTGATAGGATCAGAGCAAAATCATTCCAACTACAGTGTGGGAACACAAGCATGGCCAACATTGGGCCAATTAGGGTAAACAAGTGATGGGTGAAGTTGGACATAATTCAAGTGAAATGAGATAAGAGCAAGGAAATAGAAATAAGTAGGGCAAATGGAACAAATTAGGAAGCAAAATGAGAGGTCTTGGTGACCGATTCAGATCAAGATTTAAGGAAAGAGAAATTAGAAACAGCTGGAGATTTCTGGTGGGCCCAGCAGATTGTCACTAGTGCCATCATTGAGATACACGGAACACTGGAGAAAACCAGGGTTTGAGGGAAATGGTGATTTTTGACTTGAACAAAGAGTTGAGGATGTTTTTATGACTTCAAAAGGAAGTGCAAACAGTTGGATTTATGGGTCTGAAGCACCAAAAAGTCTGGGCTAGATTTTATAATCTGCCCTTTTCTGCCGGGTAGCCACTTTCTTTCAAATGAAGCTGTTCTTATTCTAAGTTAGATATTTCATCTTTACATTTAGAATAGAAAATAAAAGTGGAAGTCACCCTAGCAGTGTCCAGGTTTCCCTGAGAATCACCAGAGGCCCTTGTTAAAGAGCCAAATCTCTGGCTTCCCTTAGAGATGCTTGTTTGATACAGGGCCTGAAATTTGGATTTTTAACAATAAGTACCACTGTTGATTCTTTTTATTACTAAGTTTGTTCAAGCCGTGGTACTCTGGTGCTGAAAACTAACTACATGAGAATCATCAAGGTCCTTATTAAAATGCAGACATTTCTCACTGTGGAACAAACTACTCCCAAGAGTAGGCTGCCAACAGAAAACAAACTTGGCATCTTTCAAGGTTCCTTGCCTCATACTGTCCTCTCAGGGCTCACTGACTTTTTTGTTGTTGTTTTGTTTTGTTTTTAACTGTACAGGTCTTTTGTGTGTCTATTATGGCTTCCCAGTTTGTGTTTTTTAGGGGATTCCTGAGTGTGCAAACAAGTGGGTTTCTGTGTCTATCCCTGTTTCTTGTGCCTTTTCTTGTGCTCTTTCCTGCTGTTTGTTTTGTCCTACTCCAATGTGTTTGTTTTGTTTTACATATTATTTTATTACTCCATAAAGGTTTGTCTTTTTGAGATTTGTTTTTAATGATTTATTTTTATCTGATGTGCGTTGGTGTTTTGCCTACATGTATGTATGTATGAGGGTATCAAATTCCTTGGGACTGGAGTTGTAAGCTGCCATGTGGGTGCTGGAAATTGAACCTGGGTCCCTGGAAGAGCAGTCAGTGCTCTTAAGCGCTGACCTGTCTCTTCAGCCCCCACCTGTTTTCTAATGAGAGACAGAAAAGGGGTGGATCCAGATGGCACGGGAGGAGCGGAGGAAGGGGAAACCATAATCAAGATATGTTGTGTGGAAAATCTTTTTGAATAGAAGAAAACGTTTATTGAGATACTGGGAATGTAGTTCATTGGTCAGTCACTTGCCTAGCATGTACTAGGTTCCATTCATTGTATATTAAAATAAGTAAACTATAATTAAGAAGCCACCCTACCCTGCATTCTTTTGCTTTTGTTTGTTTCTTGATTTCTTTTGCATTGTTGAAGATAATGGACCTCAAACATATTAGCATGCAACCTTATTTCTGAGTTATATGACCAATTCCTGTACATTTTCTCCATAAAGTTGAAGAAACTGTTTTTGTGGCAAATGTCTTGTCAACATTTTCCTGTGTATTTACCTGATTACATGATTTTTCTCATTACTGTTAATGTGATTATTTACTTAGTTGTTTTCATTTTATTTATTACAATTCATTTTGTATTCTTTTTTTTGAGTAATGAAACAGACTTGCACAATGAGAAGAAATCTTACTAGCTTAGCTGTGCACTTTTTTTGTACATGGTTGGTTTGATTTGGTTATTAAATTGTTTGGAATTTACAAATTTAAGTTCAGAAAGGATGTTGATCTTTATCTTTCCATTGTAATAATTCCTTCCTCCAGCCTGTATTCTTGGCTTCATAGAAATACCACGTGTTATCTCTGCTTTTATATTTTGTAACATACTATAAACAACTGATTATAATGTTTACCATATGGGTGTTGTTTGTACCTTCAGAATAAATTCTTTTTTTAAAAATATAGGTTCTTGAACCTTACAGACTAGAACCGCTATGAATTAGATGAGCAAGAGAAAAAAAGAGAGAGGAAGGA